GAAACAAAATTAACTGGCTGTATTCCCTGCAAGGCACTGTGCCGAACCTTGCACTGAGCAAAGAGCAAATTGCATATCATGTGAATGCAGCGTAAAACAGGTCCAGTTTTGTCGGTTTTGGACAGTGTGTTTGGCTCAGATAGAAGCTAACGATAACACACATCGTACTTAGTACATTGCAGTTGCTAATCAGGCAAGGGCAGACACAGGCAGCAGTGAAAAAAACACATTGTTTAGTTAAGAATTTTTTACGATTCAAATTAATGCGTAAGAATTGGCCTTGTCACTGCTAGTTAGAAGCTAGTTAGCTACGCTGGTGTAACCCACTGGATAAACCAAGGTTAAAAGGTTATTGTATTTTGTTTGTTAATAATTATTTATTATTTATTTTGTTTTAAGTGGAAAATTCACAAAGAAATGTGGTTATTGGTAAACTTTTAAGAACAACGGAGCTCATTGGTTGATGACGCAATCATGCTTGCAGTTGGACTAAAGTCCCGCCTCCTCCCTCAGGTTAGTGAGGACAAGTTGGAAAAAGTAAACAAGTGTGTGTGAGGGAGTAGCTTCACGCTGGAAGAACCATGGAGACACTTGTGATCATTATATGCACGAACCAGCGCACACAGTTTGACCGGGACGGCGGTTGACCAATCTCTGGGGCTGACGTTGGAGGTTGGAGCTGCCTTGGAAAGCGGGAGTTCTGATAATTATTTTATTTTCCTCGGCTGGGTTTTTATGATACCCTAGGTTCAGAAGATTCTGGATTTTCTGGATTCTGGATTCTGGATTTTCTTCCTGACGAGGGGGATGGCGAGCTACCATTGATAACCTGAACACCTCATCTTTCCGCTACCAGTGGTAGGATTTTGAGAAGACTTTAAAAGGAACCGAACAAAGAACTATTTTCTTTTGGGGGTTTATTTTATTTTATTTGGGGTGCACCCGAGTGTCAAGCGCTTTAAAAACAATTGAAAATATTTACTACCGGCAGACTGTTGTTTATTCCTGTGCAAATATATATATATTTATTTCTTTATAAAATCTCAGTATTCACTCCATTCATTGATTTATTACCCATCCTTTAAGAACCTGGAATACTGGTCCAGTTTTCACACACCTATCAGACTGGTTACACAAGCATCTTTAGCAAGGAGACCCAGGCTGCTCTTTAAGATAAGATAAGATAAGATAAGATAAGATAAGATAAGATGGTACTTTATTGATCCCAATTTGGGAAATGTTTTGTGTTGCAGCAGCATAAAAAGACAAGGCATTGTACAATAAAAATTAAAAGACTAGAAATAAACAAGAAAGTAGAAAATATACATGTTGAATTTAACAAGGTATTATATATACAAATATATATATATACATAAATATATGACAGAAGGAATATTAATATTAAATATTAAATATTGAACAGATTATATAAATGTAAAATGTACAATGTGGGCATTGCCTCTTCTAAATAGGCAGATAAACACACAGGCATTATAACTATTAGAGTTAGGAAGCTAAGACCCATCAGTCAATGTGCCTGTTTTCTTTCTCAGGTAGTAACCGATGTTTCCTGTGGTGTGTTTCTTCTCTCATCATCATGTTGCCTGGCATACAGTATAACTGTTCCCTGTAGATTTGATGTCTCTGTTCTTGGTGCCGTCTCAGTTTATTTTAGTTGGGATAATTTTGCTTTGTTTTGTACCACCTTGCCTACTCTCTTAGTTTTGTGTTTGCTAGTTTTTTGTATTAGCTTTACTTTTAACAAAGCTCTCCTTTTGTCATGTATTTATGCCTGTGTTATTTTTGTTCAGTGTTTAGGTCTAACTGCTTCACATACCCCTGACAGTTTCTAGTAATTATATGTAATAGTGACATTGTAGCAAGTATTCCATGACTGGATTGCCTTATGATATTGCAACCATGAAAGGGCCATACATGCCCATAATTAATCTCTTGTACCTATAGGTACATTTACTCAAGTAGTGTACTTCAGAATGATTTTGAGGTACTCACAGGCTCTACTTCATTTAATTATTTCCATTTCATACTACTTTATATTTCTACTCCACAACATCTCAAAGGCAAATATTGAAGCCTACTTTTCACTCCTTACAGTATAGTGGAATAATTGACGTGACCTGTCTTGAACTAACATTTATTTGACAGCTTTTCAGATTCTAAGATACTTAGCTTATGGAAAATGTTCATTTCCATCGGACAGCAAACACAATAAACTGGCCCTCTGTCCTGCACCTTCTGAATCGATGGCTCATTGACAACCATGAATATAATTGGATGTTACTCACCACTCAGTTTTGAGTGAGCCAATCATTGTGAAGCATACATTTTAGCAAACAGCTGATGAGGGAGTGCTTTTTTGAGGTGGCAATGGCAGATGGCAAATGAAAGGACTTTAAGCAATCTATTTTATTCTATTTTAATAGATGTAATTTGTTTTTTTGGTGTGTAATTGTTTTTTAAGGTCATTTTTATTTTGTTGCCTATGTTTAACACTTGAATTCGAAAAATATAAATATAGCTGCGTTCCATTCCCTTTAAGTGATTTCCAGACACATTTAACACAGTATTTCAAGTTGTATGGTTTCCTCGACATGTATATTTAAAGGGAAGGTGAAAGGTTATAAAAGTGAGCTCCCATATGCTGGTTGCAAACCACTGTTATAACCCCCAAAAATAAAAATAAATTAACTAATGGTTGTCATTAAGTCTCATTTAGAGACTTGGTGACTGCGGACAGGATGTGGACAGTGTCATATATTTAGGAAATCCCACGATGTTACCGCTACTACAACACTGATACACACATAATGAGACCAATGAACACATTGACCTTGAACTCACACTGCTCACACTCACACTCTTTTCCCTGCACATTACTCTGCTATTGAGGATTTCGGATGCATTTGGAAAGGTGCCCAAACTGGTTGTTTTTTATGTGAGTTGATGACATGTCTTTGCTTGCATTTGTTTCTACTGTTTACATTGTAGTACCATGATTTAGAAGGCTTTCATTACACAATTTGGCATCCTCAAAACTGATCCTTTAGTCTGAGAGACGGCAGTCAAGATTTAACAAGATCCATTGAATTTAATTTATTGACAATGTGCTGAAAGAATTTGATAGAAAGACAAATATTTTCTTTATTTATGTATGCTATAACTTCAATGTTCTGCCAGTTTGTGCTGCAAAAGTTCTATTAATCTAACTTTGACACCAAATATGCTGCCCTCCACTTCATATTCTGGCATTGACTGGAGAGAGGTTCTGTTACTTACCGATCCTCCCATCCCTTAAACATTATTTAGTACTGCAGAATATAGAGAGTATATCAGGTTAGATTGGAATTTTGCAAAACATTATTTTATTAGACGTCGTGTTGCCCTTCCTCAGGCGATGTCATTTATTTGAGTGTTTCATATGCATCCAATATAAAAGAAGGGCATTGTTGGATTCAGGCTGTCTGTGGAGCAAAAGTTGAAGAATTCAAAAGCATGCAGTGAGGCAGTTGCATGCAAAAGGTTTTCTAGAATGTATGGCGGCTTATATCACTGCATCAACTTTCTTGCACTTTGGTTGAATTATAGGGAACTTTATCATGTTTTATATACAAAAATGTACTCTGTGTTTCTTCAGTGGAGATAGTTAATTATGCAATTGCTGAGGTGTTGCATGGCAACTGGAATGATGTAGCGTGTTTGGCCGTGAACTTTATGTCACTTCAGCCATAGCTTTGTGTTTTAAAAGATAATAGCGTCCAAATCAGAAAATGTTTTCCACAGTGTGCATGAAGTGAAGGATTTAAGAATGATTAATGCTTCATCGTTTGTTTAATCGTAAATGTTTTGTTTATAGTTGTTCCGGGTCGTGTCAGGGTTCAACACGCTGCCCTGTCAGGTCTGACTGTTGTAGACAGCAGAGAGCAGAGCTCATAAAAGCCATGTCCTGTTGTTTCATCCTGAGCTTCAGAGCATTATTATCTATTGTTCTGCAGACCAAGGTTCCTTCGATGTATTCAGAAGCTCAGTTGTGGCTCTCTCTTTTCTATTATTTCTCTTTTGTCTTGTGTCTTTCTGTGTAGAGGCATAGCCCCTATGCTTGCTGCACATGAATATTTAATGTCTCCCCTGAGCCGTGCAGTGTCAAAAGAACATCCCTGCTCTGTGAAAACTGCTAACTTTCATTCAGCTTTCCGTCCTTTATGTCTACTTGAAGTTAAAGTTTAAGCTCTGGGTGCTGATGGGGTTTATCACTCCCCGGCGCAGAAAGCCATAAAAACATCATCGTATAGAACAGTTATTTTTTCCAAATCCCTATAAATGTGCTATTGTGTCAATATAAGGCTTGCAGAGACTGACAGCTGGATTCCTACGGTGCACATCTCGGCGCTCTGCGGGATGTAGTTTACAGCCCTGCGGCCACCTCTCTAATCAACATTCAGATTCAGGCAAAACCCACATTATAATGTTGAACTGTTTTTGCATCAAATAAGTACATTCTCAAATGTTTCCATGTGTCTTAAATAATCATCTGTGGGCTTTTTTCAGATCATTTGTACGATGTGAGGGTCTAAGGACAGAGGGTGTCGTTTTTCTCATACTGATATTCTGCACAAACTGTGCTGTTGTATTTGCTGTAAAGTGTCCTTACTGTAAGGTCATTATTATATGTACAGCACTTTGGCTCGACCAAAAATCGTTTTAAAAATGTGCTATATAAATAAAACTTGATTTGATTTGATTTGAATCTCTCTCCTGTTCGTTTACTGTAAAATACAAAGTGAGTTTGAAATTGAATAATAAATAAAAACGCACGCTGTATGGCAAGCCCTTTAATGTCGGTATGACAGCACAGTGGAACACAAGATTAAAACTGTGTGCACACACATTTGTGTATCATTGGGAGTCTGTTTCCGCATGAGACCACACACACACACACACACACATACACACACACACACACACACACACACACACACACACACACACACACACACACACACACACACACATTCACAGTTTATGTGCGTTTCTTAGTCTGGAATAAAATCTTCTTGAAGGCCTTCCTGAAGTCTCGGTTAAAGATGGTGTATATGATGGGGTTCAGGCAGCTGTTGCAGTATCCAATCCAGAAAAAGAGGTTAAAGAGTGTATCGGGGATCGTGCACTTCTCTCTGCAGACTGCATGGAGGCTGTAAGTGAAGAAGAACGGGAACCAGCAGAGGACAAAAACCCCCATGACCACCGCCAGAACAAACGTGAACCGCTTCTCCCTCATTTGCGCCACTTTGTTTTTGGACAGAGACATCTGCCGGCTGCGGTGAGGCCCTGGAGATGGGAGGAGGAAGTTGTGTGAGCAGTTCTCCGATGAGGCCCATGATATGGAGGCGCAGGATGAAGGTGGATGAGGAGGAGGCATCAACCTGTTAGACGATCCCTCTGCGTCCTTCCTCTCCTCTGTTTTCACGTTTCCGCAGGCTCTCCTGGAGAAGCGAAGAGCCGAGGAGAACGAAGATGTCGTTTTAATGTCGGCCTCACAGCTCCTCTCCTCCAGGTCAATATCGTCCAGCTCCCCTCTCTTTTGGCTGCTGCTGTTGCTGTCCATGTTGGAAGAGCTGTGATGGTTGGCAGGCCGAGGACTGTCCAGCTCATACTGGGATTTACCGCAGCCCACTCCCTTCCTTTGACCCATCCTGGGGGTAACATCAAAGCAGGTCTCAGACTGCGATGGCTGCCGCTCCACCACGTTCTTTGCCACAAACACGGTAGAAGCTCGCTGCTTGGCAACACGGTAGATCTTACAGTACACCAGTATCATGATGACTCCTGGGGCGAAGAAGGACACGAGGCAGGAGGAGAGGATGTACCACGTCTGGTTGTTGAGAAGACACTCCTGCCTCTGCGTCTCACCGGCCTCCTCCAACCCCAAGAACTCCTCATTCTGCGTCATGAGGAGCGGCGGCGAAGAGATGATGATAGATATAAGCCACACGATGCTGATCATAGCTTTAATTCTTTTGGGCGTCCTTTTGCGGTTGTAGCTGACGGCTTTAGTGACGGACCAGTAGCGGTCGAGGCTGATGGCGCAAAGGTGGACGATGGAGGACGTGCAAAAGAGGACGTCCAGAGCCAGGTAGAAGGAGCACCAGATGGAGCCAAAGTACCAGTAGCCCATGACCTGGAAATGAAATAAACCAATAACAATATGTTAATGACGAATTTAAGCCCCAGTAAAGGAGGAAACATTGGCCTTGAGCGAGGCACCTTAAGGATCATTGCGCCTAAAGAAACAATACAGTCAATACCTCATTACTGCTATGGTTACTGTGTTTAGTTTGAGGTAAAACCTCTCTGTGTGTTTGCCCCTGTGGTTTCATGTAAGCGCTCTCGAAAATAACGTAAGCCGACAATCTTTTCACAGCTGGAAGAAAGTGTATAATATCAATGGCATAGAGCATGCTCTGCAGTCAAATGAACAATGAGTTGGCCTCTACTTTGTAGATTTTCATCTCGTGTAGGTGATAGAATGACCTTCTTAGCTGAATTGCAATGTTTGGATCATGCTGCATAAGCTTTTTTGGGTCATTTATTATCAGTTAAAGGTTTTGGAGACGTGAAATGAGGATCTAAAAAAGTAAAGAGAAGAAACTGTAGTCTTTGGTTATACTGAGAATTTAGTTTTTTCGCCACTGAGACATTGACTTTATGAATTCACAAAATGATATTCAACAACAATTCTGATCATCAAATATTCTTTATACCTCAAAAAGTTATGCATTCTTTCAGTTTATATCATACATATAGCCAAATATAGTTTTTAACTCTTTTACACTAACTTCTTTATTCCATAAGAAATCATTTGCTATAAGGATTATTCACGTGACCCAGATATACTCTGGCGAGACGCTCATCAGCTGATATACACTGACAGCAATACAGCTGAACTAAGTTAATATTGGCCGATATATTGACCCTGATGATTTCTCGGTTTGCTGTATTGTATATTGAATATGTTGATGGCTTGCTCTCGGAATGCCCTAACAAACAATCTGAACTTGTCTTTGTGCTCTGGGAACTTGTGATGGATGCTTTTGACATTTTTGACATTTTCTAGAGCAGATGCAACCTGACGTTCCCCCACAGCCATGTCAGATGAACTCACACAGACCTTTTCCCAATGTATGTGCTTAATGTAACACTACTCATCATATCGAAATGGATATGTTGACTTTTTCTTAGAATAGAAAATATTTGGTCTGGTTTGGTCAGCAATTGTACTACTACTTGGAGAGAAGCTGAATGTTGCAACAATGTATCCATTATGTTATTCTACCATTTGTTCATTACTTTGGAGCTACTTGTTTAAACATTTGTGTTTGCAATTCTGCAGTATGTTTTTTCCAGGAATAAAGTTAGGTTAATGTCAAAAGTGTATGTAAACTTTTAAACTAATCGTATATATATATTTTTTTAATTGGTTGGGCTACTCTATACTCCTTCCACGCATCCCTTGAGTCAATGTATTCCTGGTTTGGAATCACTAATAATTAATCAGGAAAACTCTATAAGGCTGTACCAAGCCCGGAGGAAGTGGGAAGGAAGTCAATATTTGTAGTGGTCAAACGGTGTACTACAACTTCTGTGTTAGTCTGTAGCGTCATTGGGCCCAAACATACTTTATCCCATTGACTTACATTGAGAAAGAGATGTCTGGAAATCAGCTGAGTAGCTAAATCAACTACCCCATTAGAAACACCTGAATACTTTAAAGTGGACCTATCATGCTATATTTAAATGATATATTGTAGGGCCATACCTATATAAGGTATATTTATACGTTTCTGTTTTCAAAATACCAAACAGATCATGATTTTTAGCCATGCCTCATTTCGCTCTATTTGCTGTTCTCCAGCACTGTTTTTGCACGGGGCTGATTCTGTGAGCTGCAGCTGACCACGCCCCCCTGCAGGAGAGGGGAGCGTGCTCTGATCAAGTCAGAAGAGGGGGAGAAAAATAGATCTCCGTCCTCCGTGTTTTATTATAGCCTATTATTATATAGAGTCGTTATTCATTTGTTTTAAAGCTCAATAAATAACAAAGAAGACCTTTGACCGGCACTTTTCTAATTTTGTCCGGAAGATTTAAACTTTAACGGACATCTTGACCGGCGAAAGAAACTGAAACTGAAACTCTGCCGCACGGTCCCCTCGTTCCTTGGAAGAGGCGGAGAGGTGGGTGTTTGTCATCTGCTGGTGGACTAACCGGAGAGAATTACAGTGCTTGCCTCGACGGGGAGGGATTGCATTGAATTACAGCAGCGGGAGCAAACACTTGCCTCGGGGAGGGAGAAAAAAAGCCACAGCGGAGAATAAACAGAAGGGCAACCATGGCAACCATGCGCGGGAAGTCTTCTTCGCTGCTTTTGTGGCAGACTACAGCGCCACTTACAGGCCTGGCATATGTACTACAGCGTCTCCAGCGCTTTCGAGCGGCAATGGCCGGCCGTGGCCCAACCCCACATTCCCCTGATAGGTGGAGAGTTGGCCCAATAGCCGTAGCGCCACCGTCCTGACGTCAGTAACGTGTTCAAATCTGGATCAGTTTTTATCAGATCCGTTGCAGCCCCTTTTTTAGAGATTTGGGTATAGAGGAAAATAGAGAGGGTTGTGTTTTCTGACACTTGGTGAGTTCCCTGGAACACCGGGGACACATATTCATGTATAAAAGACGTACAAAAGTGCATTTTGCATGATAGGTCCCCTTTAAATACAAAATTGAAATAATTAGGTCTGAAAAGCTAAAAGCAGAGTCATTTTGATTGAGTGATTGATTGATTGATTGATTGATTGATTGATTGATTGATTTTATTTCGAACAAGTAAAATAAATAATTTACAAAACAAAAAATGTTGCAGTGCATACTAATGTAAGAGAAAACAAAACAAAGTGACATTTACAACAACAACAACAACAACAACAGCATTAGCAACATAAACAGTCCCACATCTAGTGTTCGAAAAGGAGTGAGAAGAAGTATAACTTATTTAATCTCACCCTCTTGTCCCTAAATTATTTATTTATGATACATTTATTAAATGTTTTTTCCTTCTCCATTCATTTTACTGAACCGAAACCGGACGTTACGAAGCGGTTTGGAGGGGGGGCTTAAGCCATAAATAAAAAAAAGGCCCAACACCCTGGCACAACACACATGATCCGAGTAGTTTTGTGTTTTTTGGGGTTTAATGTGATACAGAGCAACTTTCTTAGGAACAAACAAGGCCACGTCTCCAGCGTTAGTTGTCTTTATACATCCATGATCTATACCTATGGGTTCGTAGAGTTTTCTGTTAACGGCATGCTAAAATGGTCACAGTAACATGTTGATGTTACCATCTTAGTTGAGCATTCAAACATATTGGCACTAAACATAAATTACAGCGGAGGCTGACGATTTTGTTTTTGTTTCAGGTATTTGGGCATAAGCCAGAATGATGGACAAATAGAAAAAGTCGACCTCATAATGTTGGTCGATTCAAAGTCAGTGTATCACCAAAGTCATTGGGCTAATATTCATCTTGAGAGGAACTTGAATGTCTGGACAAAATGTATTGGCAATAGATCCAATAGTTGTTAAAATATTTCAGTCTGGAAGGGAAAGGAAAGGAAATATAACCGTGGTGAATCAAAGTAAAGAGCCTACTTTACACAGACATGAGAAGTGGCTGATGTATAATGTAACACAGAAGAAGCTACGACTAGACTTCAAGTATTAAAGGCTGATGAAAAGCAGGGACAAAAATCAGTGAAGTTGTTAGTGGGTGCAGAGAACATCAGAACGTGCCATGCCTCAATATGAGGAAGGACACATATAAATAAATGGTCAACAATTACTCAGAAATAGGTCAAGGTTAGCAATTAAAGATGTTTATAGATTAGCCAAATGGCTGTTTACCGCAGCAGTGACAAGTAGCAATCCATTGTTGTTTAATAATGGTCTGGATGATTGATATTGAAATATGAACATTTCCCCAAAGACCTTTGATTATATGTGCCCTTCCAGTTAAATGATGTATGTACTACAACATTCATCATTGATGAGCAATTATTGATAAACTATGTTTCTTGCAGACATTGCTAGAACGCATTTGATGATTTCAGGTGTTTTTTTTCTCATGTTAAAATATTTGTAATTGTTCTGATTCAAGCTGTTGTGAAAGGTTGGTGACTTAAGATCAATTTACATGAAGTCACAGGTGATTAAATTATCCATCTGTCAATCAAGCCAGTCAGGAGAAGATCGAAATTATCTTTACCATCAAGAAAAGCCTTCAGTGCCTTTCTTTGCTCTTTTTCAAATGAAGAAATCCTCTTCAGTTATGATATAGTTTATAATATGGCAGCATCTACATTTTACTCCTCATGATCCCACATTGTTGTTTCGAGTTACAGTTGCCTTTTTGTGTTGCGACACACACCTTGACCACAGTCGTAGCTAACTCATCACAGAAGGAAAGAAACACCATGTGGTTTGGACAAAAAGGAACACTTGAAGCCAAAAAATGATTTAAGTGGTATCTCGTGATTTTCTGATTCTCGTGTATTGTGTTAATCCCAACTGCCGTGCAAAGTTTGTCACTTTGTGTGTCCAACTTGTTTTTCCGTTGGAGAGCAAGTGCTCGGGTTGGTAAAGTAGCGGCAGGAAGAGGAGGAGTTTGATGAAGTTTCAACGTGTTTGATGGAGTTTTAGGTATACTAGCGGCATGGCTTTTAAGGGATTGAACCATCAGTCAGTCCAACATGCTGGTCCACACTGAAATACTACAACAACTATTGGAGGGAAATTATGATCAGACATCTATTGTCCCCAGAAGATGAACACTACGGACTTTATCTGGCACCAAAAAAGGGTTGACTGTTTTTGTTATTCTTAAGCAAAATGTTTCGACAATAATTTGATGGACTGGCAAGACATTTCTTGAACATATTCACTTTTCATGTAAGGCCACCATCAATATGACATTTGGTTCAGACAATCATTGTCTCGTGAACTATGGTCATCTTTTATCTTTATATAGCGTCTTCATTGTGTCAACTTTTTGGATTTCTCCATACTTTGGTTATACATGCTCAGATGAAATATCCCGATACTGATTGCATGTAAGCACCAGCTAGAAATAGAGTCTTAGAGCAGAGTGTTTTTCCTCACCTCATTAGCCAAGGAGAAGGGGATGACCAGCGTCGCCACCAGTATGTCCGCTGAAGCCAGAGACACCAGGAAGAGGTTTTGGGGTGGCCTCAGGGCACGGCTGGTGAAAACCGCCACCACGACCAGCATGTTACCCACCACAGTCCCCAGTATGATGACCGTGACCACCAGCACGATGAACACTGACGCCATCTGCGAGTGAGGAGGTAGAGGAGGAGATCTGTCCAGAGAAGAGGAGGTCTGATTGACATCCTCCAAAGAAGAGTTTGGTGGTAAATTGGCCGGCATCGTGGCCATTTCAGTGAACACATCCTGTAGGTCCATCCTGGTTAAATGTCTGACAGTATGATCCCCATTTTTCAACTCCAGCGGATTCACTGCAGATGGATTGTCTTGATGCCAGCCAGCGTGGAAATAACAGAAACGAAAGAAAACGAGAAATGGAATGAGAGAAAGGGGCGAGAGTAAAGCCGGCGAAAGAACGAATAATTCAGCTGTATCTTTGGTAACAGAATAATCTCACCTCCTTTTCAAAAATGTTTGATATTTCATATTTTAAAATGAAACACATCCATGTCTCTAAATCCTCACAGCACTGCAGCTGTGGTCAATATGTTGTCATATTTGTATTTACAAACATAAAGCTTCATCTCAGGTCTCCTGCTGCACATCTTTCCCCGAAAAAGAAGGATTTGCATGTTTTAAGTTAGGATTAAAATAAAAGTCATACCTTTGAAAATATCCATTTATAAGCACATCTGAGCCCAGAGGATGACATGCTGCATGTAACTAGGCTGACCTACTTACTTCCAGTGAGACGAAATGAGAACAAATAAATAAATATAAAAAGCAACATGCTCTACTAGAGTCAAGGACAGAAACCGCATTTCAAATGCACGGTACCCTCATACTGCCGCACTCCCCGAGAGACCACTGTGGAGAAAGAAGGATTGAAAAGTAGATAAGAAATAACTGGAAATAAAAGAGTGAATGGGACGAAGAGTGTGGAGAAGATGAGGAAGAGGTGCAGCAACAAAAAAAAAGCGAAGGAGGTAAGAAGAAGAAAAGCAGAGCTCCTCACTTTCATGCAAGTTGTTTCCGTGCTGAGTGACTCTGCTGCTGCTGCTGCTCACTGGCTGCTGCTGGAAGAGAGGAGGAGGAGGAAGAGGAGGAGGAGGAGGAGGAGGAGGAGAGAGAGTAACAGAGGGGGGAGATGAAAGGGACGAGTAGGAGATGCAGTGAGAGGAGAGAGGGAGAGAGTAACAGAGGGGGGAGATGAAAGGGACGAGTAGGAGATGCAGTGAGAGGAGAGAGGGAGAGAGTAACAAAAAAAGGCCATGAGAATGAGGAAGTAAAGAGAGAAGGAGGGATACAGGAGGAGAGGTGGATGAAGGGGGAGATCAGAGGAAGGAATTAGTAAGGAGATGAGGGCAGAAGAGGAAAGGAAAGAGATATATAGAAGATGAGAGGAATAAGGAGGTGAGGCAAGGAGGGGAGGAAAGACAGGAGAAATGATGGTGAAGAAGAGGGCTTTAGAAAGGAAGTGGAAGAAAGGAAAGAGGAGAGATGCAGGGACAACAGGAAGAAAGAGGAGAGTGAACGAAAGAGGAAAGCTTGGATGTGCTGATGTGAGGGAAGGAGAGGGGAGACACAAAGAAAAAGGGGAGATGATGAGAAGAGAAAGGCTGAGAAGAAGAAAGAGTAAAACATAAGAAGACAAGAGGAAGAGGGAGAAAAAGGAAGGTAAAAGGAGACATGGACATAAAAGAGAGATAGAGGGGAGGGGGTACAAGGATGAAGATGAGGGGAGGAAACAAGGATAGAGGAGAGGAGAAGACAAATCAATAAGTAGAGGAGAGGATAGTAGGCAAAGGAGAGGAAACTAGGATAGAGGAAAGGACCAGGGAGAATAGCAGAATGGCCATGAGCCAGAAGAAGACAGACAGGAGAGGAGAGGACACAAACAAGAAACGATAAGTAAAGCGGATGAAGCAAGGGTAGAGAAGAGGAAAGGAGAGGAAAGATAACTGAGGAGAGACACAAGAGGAAAGAGAAGGACAAAGGGGAAACAAGGAACATGAGAAGAGGAACAAAGGACATTAGAGGAGCAGAACAACATCACAGAGGAGAGGACACTGGATATAAAAGAGGAAAGGGAAAGAACATGAGAGAAAGCTACTAAATGAGACACAATCAACTTTTCAGTGGTCATAAATCAATTCCTATTTATCCGGAAAGGAGTGGAGAGAGGGTGAGCAGGCCTTTATTTAATCAGCGTCTGATGCTCTTAATTTAGCCTCCTGGGGCTGAGCGATGACATGAAGTGCGTCTGCAGCCTGGGTGCACTTCTCCTGCTTCTAAACAAATTGTGACACTCGCACGCCGTTTAAATCAGCTTCAGAGGGTGAAGACCTCTCAGATCACACATCACAGAAGCCAGCGTGACGTGAATGCAGACCAGGAGGTAATCCCATGATGCCACAGCAGGCAGGCTTACTTAACAACAGATGAGGGGTGAGGGTACATGTATACAGTTTTATTTTCCCAGCGCTGTGACGCTTGCTGGATAAACATCAACAAGCTTCCCCAGGCAGTGTTTCCACACCGAGGGTGTTCAGAGCTGTTTATTCAGACTAAAGAGCATTCAGGGCTTTAGGTCGGCAGGAATAGCACAATGGCAGCACACACGTCACCACCGATTGAATTAGGGGGTTGTGAGGTGATAATGATGAGTAGCTGAATAACAGGGTAAAAGACAGAGTTAAATCAATGATCCTCGAACTCTTCACGCAAACAAACAGGGGCGCAATTCTCAGAAACGTTATACTATTCTATATATTTATACTATAGAGCCATGTAAACATATGGACACATCAGTGGTGGCAATAACTAAGCAGTACCCAAGTACAGTACTTAAAGGGACAGTGTGTGAGAATGTACGTGGATGTAACAGCAGACATGGAATAAGAAAATCATAACTGCAAATTCCTGGCAATGCAGAGAAATTTAGTTTCTCTTAAAGGAGAGGTGTCATGGCCATTTCCACTGATCATAATTCCATTGTTGAGGTCTACTAGAATAGATTTATACTGTGCATTTTTCCAAACTCACATTGGTTTCTCATACAGCATCTCTGTAAACTACTTGTATTCACTGAATTTCACTATCTGCCTTTAACGGCTCGTTGTAGCTCCAATAGCTCCAGCCCCCACCCTCCCTGTGAGCACAGTGTGCTCTGATTGGTCGGGACGTTGTGAATCGCGCTGAGCTCCGTGGAGGTGTTGTTTCCTTGTTTAGCATACACAGCGAAACACAGCCAAATTCATCCTGAGCACACACAAACTCACATCCGAAGTAAAAACAATAAGTGTGGCTTGATATTGAGTAAGAAAAAGGTTGATAAACGCTGTGAGAATGGGTCTGCAGAGAGAATTTTGCCGCGATCCCAACTGTCTGTTATCAGCCTGCAGCCAGGGAGGAGAAATCAGCTGAGCTGCCTGCTCCCTGCACACAGATGTGTGTGTGAGGAAGTCCGTGGATCGGTCAATTTGGACCAATCAGCGGGGGCTTAACGTAACGGCTCCGCGGACGTAACGTAACGGCTCTTCGGGATTGGTCCATTTCGTTCCGGGTACCGCTTGACATCATGCCGTACCCGGAACGAAATGGAAGACTCAAATGGGCAGTGACGTATCTCCAACGAGGCGTTTTGGGGAGGTCTTTTCTGTGTTAGAGTTTTACTCGCTACAGGGTTTTGACTCTGCACACCGTTTACATGCATAAAAACCTTCGGAAAAGCATGACACCTCTCCTTTAAAGGTGGGGTAGGTACGTTTGAGAAACCGGCTTGAGATAAACTTTTTGTTATATTCCATGGAATGCTCTTAACATCCCGATAGCCAGTGGCGGCCGGTGGTCTTTTTTTTGGTGGGGCTCTTGACGTACCGTAAGTGACCTACCCGGGGGGTCCGGGGGGTTTCCCCCCGCAAATTTTTTTCGAGAAATGACCCCTTAAATGATGACTTCTGGTGATGTTAGAGGGGGGGGGAAAGGAGAAATCGAGGCTTAAAAATATGAGAAGACTGATCAATACCTCCATAATCTTCAGTGTGGAAAATATTATTTATCAACCTGAACATCTACTACTTTACCAGGAATTTGTGTTCTCAGAACTGGTCTGTTTTTTTCTTTCTTAAAACTGTTCATGTTTATGAACCAACACCTTCACCAAGTAGCTTTACAGTGAACTGCATGTGAGATATAAAATTAATAGCATCTTTTCAGTAGCATTAATTATAAATATTTAAGTGGTTCAATACAAGTCACTACAGCATTTCAAACTGAACTGTGAATAAATGCAATTTAAAAAAAATAACCACAGCACAAAATGTCATAAATTGTGTTTTTTCTTTGTTTCTCTGAGGATTATTTACAAACAGGCTTATTTACATATAGCAATAACTCAGAAATGAAAAAGCTACATCGTCTAACACGAACAACCACTTAGCATAATGATAATATATGTGTTATGTACAATGTAACTGGCAAGGCTAGAGCAAGAAAGAACATAAAGTTTGCAAAAGGTTTAAATAACTTCAAGTATCTGTCTTCAGATTACGTGGAGGTTTTAGTCCGATGGGAAGCAGATTTTAAGCGACACCGAAGATAAACCAAAAATGTGGTGGAGCTGCAAACCGTGTAGTGTTGCTGGGACAGAACAGGAGCTATAACCGTTGGAAAATACATCACAGACAATGCAACAAACGTGGAGACAGAACAATCACTTCTGTGATAAATGCCCACTTATTAATAAACTTCTAACAACCATGGGAAACCTCCTCTCTACATATAAAGTGATATCCAAGCATGGGAAACAAAAGACAGCATTTACCTGTTTGCATCCAGCTAGCCAAGCCTTTTTTGTGTACCAGCTACTTGCGAAGCCTCGTGTATACGTTTTGTCTTTTTCACGAGATTGCTGCGATATATTCAAATCGGGTTGGTCCAAGGTCTTTAAGCAACAATTTATCTGCCAAACTTCTCCTTTCGAAAGGATTGGAGATTAGCTCTTGAACAGAATTAGGCGGGGACCGAGGTCCGGAGACTCCACCTGCACACGAAGCCATCCTCATCAACTACTGCGTCAACCGGATACGAGTCACTGTCCAAACTACTCACAGACTGCACTGGGCGCTGACATTGGCGCCCGGTGACCGTCATCTTTGACGACGCTGATTGGCTGAAATTATATTTTCGCGGCATAGTTTACACGTTACAGATAGCAACAGTCAGCTGCTAGTGGCTGCTGCTGCACTGGTTGAAGG